CCATTGAGTTGGTTCTGACTCATAGTGACCCTGCATAGGGTTTCTGAGGAGTAGCTGGTGGGTTAGAACCACCGACCTTATGGTAGGCAGTTCAGTGCTTATCCTACAACGCCACACTAGGGCTCCTTCTTTGCCAGTAGAAGCAGCCATTCCACCTTGCCTGGTGTAGTTGTCTTGCAAGACATTGCTGATTGTCCTCTGGACTCATCGTTGCAAACCCTTTTTGCTTCTAAACCTATACCTATACTCAAGAAGGCCCCAAAAGATGAAGTACGATTCCCCCCAAGAGAGGTGAACAATATACTAAAAGAACTGTATGACTTCTAACTTATAGACATAAATCTGAGGCATATATGTGGGAATGGATAGCAATAGTGTCATTAAGTGCTGTTGAATTGGTCCCAACTCCTAGTGCCCTGTGTACAACACAATGGAACACTGATTGAATCCTGGACCATCTTCTGAAACACCACTGTGTTATGCTTTGTTGTAACTATTGTTGTAGCCACTAAAATCCATCTATATGGAGGGTCTTTCTCCTTCCCACTAATCTTCTACTTTATCAAGCATGTCCTTTTCAAATGATTGCTACTATGCCGAAAGTGCATGAGATGAAGTCTTGCCATCCTCACTGAGGGTACATTTTGGTTGTAATTCTTCCAAGACAGATTTGTCCATTCTGTTTGACAGTCCATGTTATAGTCAGTGTTCTTCTTCACTGGAACCATAGTCCAAAGATATCAATTTTTCTTTGATATTTCAAATAATCATGACAATTTTTGTTTTGTTGCCACATTTTTATCTGGTTAGATAGGCATTGCTTTCATCTCAAAGTCTTAAAAAAAAAATGACTTCTGTTCAATTTTTATTTGATGTAATATTCAATCTGAGGGTTCTTGCACAGATATCTTAGTTACTGTTCATATACAGCTAGTTTAGTTATAAGGTCCCTGTTTGTGCTTGGCTACTACCCAAAAGCTTGGTGATCCAAATTTACCTAGTGGTGCTGTGAGAGAAAGTGCTGGGGATTAGCTTCCCATAAAGATTATAGCAAGGAAAATCCAGGGAGCAGTTCTACTCAACACATGGGGTTGTTCTAAGTTGGAATAGACTTGAGTGCAATGAGTTTTCATTTTGGTTTAGTTGAACTAGGAGATGTAATCTGTATTTTTACTTACTTGGGTACAAACTACAAGACATCACACAGTGCTGAAAGCAAAGGAGAGGATAACATGCTGGCCCTTAGATTAAATGAGGGCACCAGCTCAGTCCATACTTTACTATTATTAAAACTCACTTTGCTTTTGGGTTCTTTTAAGAAATAAGTATTAAGGCAAAACTCTATAAATGAAAAGGTCATAGTTGCTAGGAGCTTGAGGGGTGGGATGGGGAATGAGTAGGTGAAACACAAGGTATTTTTAGGACAGTGGGACTGTTTTGTGTGACATTGTAATGGTAGACATTTGTCAAAATCAATAGGACTTAGGGGACCAACAAATACGTCAAACGGAACTCACAACCATAAACCATTAGAGAAATGAGAATCAAAACTACGAAATACCATATCACCCCTGCAAAAATGGCAGTTATCCAAAGAACAGATAACAACAAATGCTGTTAAGGTTGTGAGTGTGTGTGTGTGTGTGTGGGGGGGGGTTACTGGGACACCTTTACAGTGCTGGTGGGGATGCAAAATTGTAGAACCGCAATGGAAAAATAGTATGGTAGGCCTCATAAAGCTAGAAATAATTTTTGTCGTTAAGTGTTATCAGATGGAATCATAGTGACCCTGTAGATTCCCGAGTGACTGGTAGGTTTGAACTGCCATCCTTGTGGTTAGCAGTCCAGTGCTGCTCCTACAGCACCACACTACGCTCCAGTAATCCCACTCCTAGGTATATATCCTAGAGACAGAAAGGAGTGATGTGACTAGACATGCTCACTTTTACTGCAGTATTAGTCACAATAGCAAAAAGATGGTAGCAACCCAAGAGCTCTTCAACAGATGAGTGGGTGAAGATATGGTGGTACCTACGTAAAATGCAATACTGTAACTGTAAAGGAGTCCACAAAACATCTAATAACATGGATGAATCTGGAGGACATTATGCTGAGTGAAATCGGTCAATCATAAAAGAACAAATGTTACATGGTTTTACTTCTACAAAGTCAAGAATAGGTATACAAACAGCAAATAGAGTGGAGTCCATGGAATCACTGGTAGTTTCAAACTGCTGACCTTGAGATTAGCAATCCAACTAGTAACCACTACTGTATAACCTTCAAAAAACTAGCTGGACATTCTTTACCAGATCATAAATGATTTACAAGCAAAAAACTGCTTTGCAATAGTTATAGTTTCCCCAGCATTGTCAATGGCTCTCTTTCAATAGTTAATATCTTTGTCAGTCTTATTTTAGCAGCCAATGTTGACTCAGTGGCAACTGGTTTAAAAAACATCTAAGCCAGATCACCTTATGACAATAATAAAGTTAAAATGAGGCAAGTACCCATCACCTGAGTGTCCTAATAAATTCATTTTTCTCATGTTGTTGTTAACCCTTTCAGTGGGAACTTAACCTTGTGAGTAGCAGAGCCTGCCCTTGAACCCACACTGACTGCACACTCAAGTGTTAAGTACCGTGGAGTCGGTTCCAACTCATAGTGACCCTACACAGGGTTTCCGAGGCTGTAAATCTTTATGGGAGCAGAAAGCCTCATCTTTCTCCTGCAGAACAGTTGGTAGTTTTGAACTGTCGACCGTGAGGTTAGTAGCCCAATTCATAACCACTACGCTACCAGAGCTCAGTAGCCACCATTAAACACACAACAAAGAAAGGACAAAAGCGAATTTCCAGGTCCTATTTTTATTTTCTGCAGCAGCAGCCACACAGCCACAGGGACATGAAGTGTCTGGACAATAGGCACAGTGCCTGTGGCTGGGGAGACTCATGCTCTTCTTGGTTCCCATGATCAAGGAAAAATACAATATTCACACACCATACACAGCCACACCCATTCCTCCCAGCCTCTTCCTTCTCCTGAAGTAAGACCCAATTAGATGACTCATCCTTCCAACCAAAGAAAGTGGCAGCCAAAAAATGTGGGTTCTACAAGGGAGAGGCCTATTCTTTCTTCCCACATGTACTCCCAGCACCAAGTTCACTCCACCTGAAACCACCGTGCTTGACAGTGACAGGACCTGGTGCACGGAGATGGACACTCACCTCACCGTGCTGGGAAGATGGCCTGTTTCCAGGCATGACATTACTGGTGCAAAACATTAACCTGAGGCTGTTGTGGTCCCAAAATATTTCCCCTTCCCAGCCTGACCGTGAGGTCTGCAGAGAGCAGGATTTTGGTTTATAGGACTAAGAGTGACAGAGGCTGCTCGTATCTCTGCCTACACTCAGTGGCTTAGGGATGGCAGCAGCTCCACTGGGGAAATGATGGAGCTGAGAGGTTGGGGTAATCTAGCAGGTGGAAACCGTTCCTCTACAGCAAGTAGAATCATCAGTTTCGCACCAGGCGAGGAAGCACATGGGTCCAACAGAGCTAATACTAGAATTCACGCACTTTGCATACAAACTGAGAATGAGGTTGCTTTTTTTTTTTTCTTTCTTATGGCCCCTCCAGAGGCTAAATGGGTAAAGGGAGGCTCCTTTGTCTCCTGAGAGCCATGGATACACGCAGCACTCACAGGACCACGTTAAGACACTCTGTAGAGTGTGTCAAACCCTGGGTGGAATGGGTGAGCATTCTTCAGCCAAAACATGGCAACCTGGAGTGGCAAGACTGACACTTCCCTGCCGACTATGGCTGCACCTTTCTGTCAATGAGGCGGGAGCTATCCTTGGGCTGAGAGAAGGACCTGAAATCATGGACAACTCCCAAGTGTCAGATTTCTGCTTATTTTTCATGGGTCTTTTACAGCAGAAAAGCCCGGGAGGTCTTGCTTGTACCAAAGTGATAGATGAGGAAAACACAGCTCAGTGGGGACATGTGGCTTGCCTAAGGCTACACAGCTCATTGACAATAGGGCAAAGACTGAAACTCAGGTCTCTGGACTACTGGCCCAGTACTCTCTCTCCAAACACCAGACCGCCTGGCCCAGCTCACTGAATTCCACTTTCCCTTACATGACACATGCCTTTTTAGATTCTGGGTTTTCGGCCAAGGCTGTGCAGCTTGGGAGATGCAGATGCATAAAACAGCCAAACTTTAGTAACAAGTGAGGAAGGATCTTGGGGAGGTTCCCTTTTGTTGGGAGGGAAATGGAGCTAGTTTTTCTCTGAGCTTAGGATTCATAAGGCACTGAAATTAACTACAGGTGGGGTGAAAACAAAACAAAAAAAAGGTTTAAAAAAACCCCAAAACAAGTGGTTGGAAAAATCAAAAGTCCATGATGCGCTTTTCTTTCAGAGCTGCGTGATCCAACACAGCCCCCATGTCACCAAGTGGCATGGACGTGCCTCCACCATGACTAAGTGGGTTCTTGGGACAAGAGGAGGCCTACAGAGTTGAGAACCGAGAATTGTCCCAGGACTTCGGGATCAAATTCATCTGGGACAGCCATCAGCCTTGACAAGGGCCTCCCCAGTGTCACGGTCCTCTCTGAGTGAACTCTACAGTGGCTGGGCTGGGTCTGTAAGCCCAGGCATGAAGGGGCCGAGAGAACTTTGGAATCAGACCGAGCTTTGGCACAGCACTTGTTGGGTCTGCCTGTTCCATCTGTTGCCCTCCTGCGGCCCCAAGGATGGAGAGGTGCTTCCTTCTCCCCACGAGAAGCTTTTCCGGCTGACCTGGGCAATGGCAAAGCAACTCCAGGGCATCCCCTCCTCCATTCCAGCCCAACCTGTGCACAGGTGATGTAACGTGGAGCTTTCTGGACTCACCTACTGAACCCAAAGCACCTAGTCAGGTGTGGTGCTGAATGAGAAGCAATAGCTACCACTTACCCAGCAGCTACAATGTAACAGGTGCTTGACTTTACAATGACCAGGTAGATAGTATCCCCTTTGGACGGATGAAGAAACTGGGGCTCAGAGGGATTAACTGATTCACCCAAAGATGCACAGCTAATGAGTGGCTAAACTGGAAACTGGAGTCAAGTTTATCTGATTCCGGATCCCAGGCTCTTTCACTCCACTAGGTTGTCCTTGGGAGCTGGGAGGAAGCCACGGGGCTATCTGGGTAGGACTACTGGAGGGGCTTCTATCTGAAAGTGTGGAGCTGGAGAGCAGTTGAGCTTGGTGAAGGGAAGTTGCCTCCTAGCCCTGGGGGACAGGGTCCACGTGTGTCTCTCTCAAAGGGGCTGTGGCTCAGTGCCTGGCAGCCTTGCAGATCTTGTCATAAACCTCAGGGAAGGCGTCCTGGCAGTTGAGCTGCTCCCGCAGCTTGTGGTACAGGGAGCCATCAAACATCTCCCAGAATTCCTCCCGGTTCATGTAGCAGTCAGCATACAGCATCTGGAACCTGCAGAGATGGACAAGAGGGTGAGATCACAGGGAAGTGTGAGGGGGAGACACCCAGAGGGCCCTACCATGCAGCGAGCTTCACAGTGTAGGGGTGCACTCAGGGATGAGCTGTTGAGTTTGATTCTTCTAAACACCCCATGAGGCGGGCAGTGCGGGAATGCTGATCCCCCGTTTTGCAGATGGGGAACTGGGGCTCAGGGATGAAGTGACTTAGTAGTGGTGGAAGTCAGACTGCTAGGCTCCTCCCTGTTGACTTGGTCTTCTCCACACACTGCCTTACCTCATGGGGGCAGTGTGGCTTTGATTTGATATTAATTAACATTCACTACATGGCACAGATTTGAAGTGTATAATGGGCTCAGTCTTGATACATGTATACACCCAAGACCCACTGCTACAACTGAGCCAACGAGCATTTCCATTACTCCCAGACTTTCCTCCTGCCCCTGTTACCTCTGCCATCCCTGGGCAACCCCAATTGCTATCTGTCATTATGGATCTGTTTGCGTTTTCTAGGACTTTATATAAATGCAATCATACAATATGCACTCTTTTGTGCCTGGCTTCTTCCAACCACCATAGGTATTATGAGATTTGCCCGTGTTGTGTACAACAATAGTTTATTCCAGGCCATTCTCTGAGTACTGCTTAGTCTGTCCTGAGCCTCTCTGTGCTTTCCAGGAATTCCTTCCTCTTTATCTTTGGTCGTTTCAACCTGAAGAAGTCTCAACTGGCAGCGACCCCTGAATCTAGGGGAACTCATCCCCATCATCTACCCCATGGGGTAGAGTTGAGGTGACTCCTGGGTTTCACCTCACTCAGGTGCGGGGTGTGTTGGTGTGGACCCTGGAGAAGGGGGAGGCTCCCTCTCTCCCATCTTCAGGGGGGCAGTGATGGCTCACTGGAAGAACTCTCACCCCAGTAGAAGTGGGCCAGTATACTCTACACGCAGGGGGAGTCCTGGTGTGGCGCTGTATGATAGGCACTGGACTGCTAGCCACAAGGTCAGCAGTTCAAACCCACCAGTCATTCCTTGGAAACCCTGTATAGGGTTGCTGTAAGTCGGAACTGACCCGACGACACTTCACAACATCATCTGTAAGTGAAGGCTTGCATGTTGCTATGATGCTGAAAAGGTTTCAGCAGAGCTCCCAGACTAAGATGGACTGGGAAGGAAAGGCTGGCAATCTGCTTCTGAAATTCAGCCTGTAAATACACAGCAGATGGCAGTGGTCCAATCTGAGACCGAGAGAGGATGCAGCAGGACTGGGAAGCGTTTTGTTCCATTGTGCAGTGTCTCCACAAGTCTGGGGCCAACTCAGTGACAACAAACAGCATGCTTCAAAATGTGCTTCCTGGATCAGAGATGGTTCAGAGCTACAGCCCCCTCTGTAATAAGCTGGTCTAGCCTGGGATAGCGGCCCTGCACCCCAAAGGAGCAGTTCTCTGAGCCACACTCCTGCCCACTCACCCATGCATGCTTCGGACGAACTTCTCCAGCTGCCTCATGCAGGACCTGGCTTCAAAGTGCTTCACGCGTGGCTCCCCATAGGCCCCAATGTCGATGTAGAGCTCGGCCTCATCTCCTTTGGGGTGTACCAAACCTGGCTGGCTGGGTAGGATGAATGGGCACAGCCAGATGGGGTAGACCTGGGTGGACCAGGGAGAGGGGGTTGGTGCTTTTATTCCCACAAGGGATACCCCCACCCCGCCCCATCCCGCCCCTAGATGAGAGCACCACAATTCCACCACACTAGAGGACACAGAAGTGAAGGGCACCCAGCTGAGACTTCTCTCCCACTGGGGTCCGGCTCAAGGCCACACCCTTCAGGGAGGAGACTGTGGACTGTACAGCGCCACCAGAAGCTCACGTGGATGTCGTTGTGGAAGGTGTGCAGTGCCTGCAGCATGCACTTCATGGGCACCAGCATGTCCTGCACCACGTGGTGTTGCTCGTACAGCTTGCGCAAGGTCTCGCCCTGGGTCAGCTTCAGGAGGGAGATCTTGGGAGGGACCATCCATCCAAAGAGGTAGCGGAAAACAGGGTTGTTGCCGAAGGGGATGATGTCCTGAAAGACAAGAGTTGGCATCAACAAGGGTTGCATGTCTACCCCAAGCCAGGGGCCAGGGTTTCTCTCATTCAATGCTGGACAGAATAACGGCCAACGTGCCACCCCCTATGTGGAGGGGATGTGGTAGTACTCAGGACATCATCATCACACCTGCGTTTGGTCCTCATTTTGGGCAGTTGCCAGCTGTAAGACACTTGGGCTAGTTATTTAACTCAGCTGGGCTCAGTTTCCTTATCTGTACAATGGGTAGGGCAGTACAGAGCACCTCTTTCAAACGGTGCTATGAGGATCATGACATAGCATATTAAAGGCACTCAGCCAGTGTCTGCCACAAATAGTAAGATCCCAATAAACAGTAAAGTTTTACCCAAGGTAATACAGAAACGGTTGCAACCATACATCGACAGAGAATTTCCAGAGGTTCAAGCCAGAGTCAGAAGAGGATGTGGAACAAGTGATATCATTGCTGACATCAGGTGGATCTTGGCTGAAAGCAGAGACTACCAGAAAAATGTTTACCCATGCTTTATTGACTACACAAAGGCTTTCGATTGTGTGGATCATGACAAGCTATGGACAACATTGTGAAGTATGAGTATTCCTGAACACTTAATTGTGCTCATGAGGAATCTGTACCTGGACCAAGAGGCAGTTGTTAGAACAGAACAAGGGTATACCGAATGATTTAAAATTAGGAAAGGTATGTGCCAGGGTTGTATTCTTTCACCATATTTAGTCAATCTGCATGCTAAACAAATAATCTGACTTCATTTTGTTTGGATCAATCATCAATACTCATGGAAGCAACAGTCAAGAAATCAAATGACGTATTGCATTGGGCAAATCTGCTGCAAAGACCTTTTTTTAAGTGTTTAAGAGCAAAGATGTCAGTTTGAGGACTAAGGTGCACCTGACGCAAGCCATGGTATTTTCAGTAACCTCATAATCCATGCAAAAGTTGGATATGAATAAGGAAGACCATAAAAGAATTGATGCTTTTGAGTTATGGTGTTGGAGGAGAATATTGAAAGTGCCATGGGCTGCCAAAAGAACCAACAGATCTGTGTTGGAAGAAGTGCAGCCAGAGTGCTCCTTGGAGGCCAGGATGGCCAAACTTCATCTCTCATACTTCAGACATATTGTCAGGAGGGACCAGTCTCTGGCGAAGGATATCATGTTTGATAAAAATGGAGGGTTGGAGAAAAAAAGAAAGACCCCCAATGAGATGGATTGCCACAGTGGTGGCATCAATGGGCTCAAATGTAGCAATGACTGTGAGGTTGACCCAGGATCTGGCAGTGTTTTGTTCTGTTGTGCATAGGGTTGCTATGCATCGGTACTGACTTCATGGCACCTAGCAACAATAAACAGCAGCTATCACTGCTGTCCTTGTTGGGTCAGTGTGGCTGATTCAGGGCAGATGGACCATAAATGTTTGAGATATGACAGCTGTTGACTGAGAACAGTGGTACTCAGTGAGATGAAGCAACTTCCCTCAAGTCAGCGAGTCAGGGACAGCGCTGGGCTGAGTCTGGCTCTGGGTCAAACATGAGCCAATGATTTACAGTTTCCTTTGCACCCTGTCTGCCCCTCTTGGGCAGAGGCTGTTCTTTCTTGGTACCTCCAACTACACCGAGGCAGGAGTCCCCTCTCTCAGCACTGCTTTCATCCAACCACCTGCCATCCTCTCCCTCAGCTCCTCAGTGGCTCTCACCTGCTGACAATCCCAACAGTGGAGGCTTTGCCCCTGGCTCATAATCTTCCTCCCTGGTCCACATCCTACTGTATTCCTGAGTGTTAGCGGGAGAATCCATGTTCACAGTGCCTGGAGTCCTTGAAACCAAGGGCACTCATTCAGTCATTAAACGGCTACAAGTTACCTACAAGGTCAAGCACCAGGTTCTATGCTGGACACTAGGGCCATGAGGATCACTGAAACATGACCCTTGCCCTCAAGGCTCTCCCTCCCCCAGGGCATGGAAGGAAGGAGATAGTGACCACAGGAGAAGCAGTTAGCTTGGAAAAGGTCAGGGGCAGCTTCCCAAAGAAGCCATACCCGTGTTGCCTGCAAGGCTGAGTGAGTCTTCTCCTCTCAGTGGCTCCATTAGGGTAGGGAACTGTCTGCTTTCTTCTCTGTCGCACTTACACCTGGAGCTGACATTAATGCCTCTCATGTAACACATGTAACAGGAACTCACTAAAGAACATGGCTAGGTAGCACTGTTTCCTTGGGTGTTTTCTGGAAAAGTCACACCTAACCCATAGCAAAAAGATTTCCAATACAAAGATGACGCTTCCTTTCTCACCCCTGATCCTGTTTCCCAGAGCCCTGATCCCACTTCATTCCCCTCCCAGGTCTGATCCCAATCTACTCCCGCTGCTAACCCTGTTCCTCAGTTATCTTCTCCTCCAGCCCTTTCCTCATCCCAAGGTATGAATTGTTTGTGTATCCTATAGAGACAGATGATATATAGACAAGTGAATGGATTTTAAAACGTGCAGTCCTCACGCCCCTGCACATGTACTTCTCATTGGGCCCTGCTTATCAATGTACGCTAGAAATCCCTCTATCAGTGCAGAGGCGGACCCTGGGACAAATCTACCCCACCCCTTGGTTTTGTAATCAATGTGTTACTGGAACACAGCCAGGCTCCTTTATTAAAATATTGTTTACCCCTGCTTTCAGATTACAACAGCAAAGTAGTTGCACAAGAGACTTTTATGGCTCACAAAACCTAAGATATGTACTACTTGTTCCTTTATAGAAACCATTTACTAACGCTTGCTCTGCTATACAGTTGCATCATCAACTGATAGACATTTAAATTATTTCTAGAGTATTCTAATGATTATTCTTTTTACATGTATTATTTGGTTCATGGGTAAGTATTTGCAAGATAAATTTCTAAAGGTAGATATTTCTGGTTCACAGCGTGTGCAGTTTGAATGGTTACTATTTCAAGAGCTCGCACCATTTTCTACTCTCCCAAACAGTAGAGGATAAGGGTCTCCTCACACCCTGCCAGCAGTGGGCTAACAGACGTCTGGATCGGTCATTCTGATAGTGAACAGTAGAACTGACAGTCACTTGATTTCATAGCTGTAATTCTGAGTCAGGTGGCGACACTTTTCTTATACTCAAAAGTCATTCACATCTCCCCTGGAAACAGTCAATTATTAATCAAATGTCCCAACTGGAACCACTTTTTTTCCAAAATTTCAGCCTCTGAGAGTGCACGTTTAAACAAGCGCCCTACTTCCTCCTCTCCCATTATTCACGCCTCTGACCCCAGCTTCATCCCTGTCCTTCTCTGTCAACACACGAAGGTCAGTCACTCTAGAAACATTGCTCCATGTCCTCCCTCCGTTGGCTGTCCAGCTGCTTTACTGTGTCCATGTTATTGGCCACCTTGCTCTGCTGGACTGTGGGACCCTACTACAGATCCAAGGAGCCTTAGATCATGTCCTTTCTTACAGCTGTTACTGCCCTGTCTTAGTCAATCATTTACCACTTACACTGAAATGATACAGAAGTAAAGGGTAAGACAGATGAGGCAACCTTTCATTCCTGCCTTACTCATCAATGTCAGGAAGTGTCATAGGACAGGTCTCTAAGGGGAGCAGTAACACTGGGGAGGGACCACACCCCCGTGGGGTTATCAACCATTTGAGATCAAAAGGGCAGCATTCACCCAAGGACAAAGTTCAGAAGGGTTAGGAAAGGAGGGAAACAGAAACTCAGAGAGGAAATGGGATAAGAGATGTTTTATTGTGAAGATGGCAGTTAATGAGGTGAAACAAAATGTGTATGAATTGTTGAATGAAAAACTGATGATCTGCTCTGTAAACCTTCTCCCAGTTCAGAATAATAATAAAAAGGTGTATTAATCTTGTTACAGTGTCTAGAGCAGTCGTTTCCTGGTAAACATTAAAATAAACCATATGTGCCCAAGAGTATACAAAAACATCATAAACTTCCATTAGGTTTAATGTAACATTTTATCTTACTATGCACTTCTGCTAACATTATTTTATATAGACAAGGTTTACTTTATCTGGTACAAACAACATATTAGTAAGGATTTAATTACTTTATTTGTTCTAATCAAAATGGGAAGTGGCTTAGTGAACTGGTTACTAGTTAAGAATGTTTAGGTGAAAGGAGACTACTTGGTTTGAGTGTTGGTTCCACCATTAGTATAAAATGCCTGGTCATCCCTAGCATGCCTTGTTCAATATTGTTAAGTGCCATCGGGTCGGTCTCGACAGTTCGCAGTCCAGTGCTTATCCTATACAGTCACCATACTCCCAATATATATGCTGTTGTTGTTGTTGTTAAGTGCCATCGAGTCGGTTCCGACCCATAGCGACCCTGTACAGGGTTTCCGAGGGTGTAAATCTTTACCGGAGTAGAAAACCTCATCTTTCTCCCGTGGAGCAGCTGGTAGTTTCGAACCGCTGACCTTAAGGTTCGCAGCCCGATTCGTAACCACTACGCTACCAGAGCTCCTCCCAATATATATACAGTTGTTGTTAAATACCCTTGAGTCGGTTCCAACTCACAGAGACCCTGTATAGGGTTTCCGAGGAGCGGCTGGTGAGCTTTAACCGCTACACTGCAGTTCAAACAAACCTTGCAGAGCAGCACATTAACCACAGCACCACACCAGGGATCCATGTATATAGTTAGCTCTCAACAAACGTGAAGCTCCTGTTACAACACTAAGTATAAAATCACCTATGAAGCATTTGACACCACACACGATTTTCCTATTGGTTTATTATATATTGTACGTTGAATAATTTATATGGCACTTCTGGCTCAGTAGGACAAGCGTTGGACTGCTAACTGCAAGGTCAGTGGCTCAAACCTACAAGCCACTCCTTGGAAACCCTATACAGGGTCACTGAGTCGGAACTGATTAGATAGCACTTACCACCACCACGAACTACTATATTACTGAAGAAGAAGAAGAAAAAAGCAAACAAAAAGGAAGTCTCATAGGAAACTGAGTTTGTTTTGTTATTTCCTCTGCTTTGTTAAGAATAAAGCACACACGCAGTGTTAAAATGTCTTTATGTGGCTGTGTGCCGTGGAGTCGGTTCCGACCCATAGCGACCCTGTACAGGGTTTCTGAGGCTGTAAATCTTTATGGGTGCAGAATGCCTCATCTTTCTCCCATGGAACAGCTGGTAGTTTCAAACTGCTGACCTTGTGGTTCATAACCCAATTCATAACCACTATGCTACCAAAGCTCCTATTTCCATTTAAAAGAGAACACTAACATTCCTGTTAGTAATTACAATTGTTAAATTTTCCCTACTTAGGACTCTTGGTATGGTGCTGTAGGATCACCACTGGACCTTGAATCACAAGGTTGGTAGCTCAAACCCACCAGCTGCTCCCACGACCTGTATAGGGTCGCTATGAGTTGGAACCGACTTGATGGCACATAACAACAACAGAAAGATAACAGCAAATATTTATGACAAATCAAGTAGAGGCCATGGAAAAAAGGAAAAGACTTAATATTTCAGTACCTTGGTGGGGGTGTGCCGTGGAGTTGGTTCCGACTTCCTAGCTACCGTGAACAGGGTTTCCGAGGCTGTAAATCTTTACGGGAGCAGAAAACCTCATCTTTCACCCATGGAACAGCAGGTAGTTTCGAATTGCTGACCTTGAGGTTCACAGCCCCCGATTCCTAACCACTATACTACCAGAGTACCTTAACAGCACCCCTGCTTACGCTATTGAAGATTACACAGCGGTTTCCGAGGAGGAGAAGGGGAAGCAATTAGAACAGCCAGACCTGGCCCAGGTGTGTCAGAATGGACTGATCACCCAGAATGCAGCTTCTTCAAGGGCTCAGCATCCTCTCCAGGGTACATTTGGTTCCTTTATAAAGGCCAGATTCAGAGAGAAGGAAGCTGAGGGGGCAGCCCCAATGGGAGAAGGAGTTATCCCCAGGGGAGGAAGAAAAAGACAAGCATCTGAAATTGCTTATTACTTTTCCTTCCTAGAAATGTCTTGGCCTCAGCAATTCCACTGTGTGGTATGTCCAGATGCCCCCTTCAGGGAGGCACCCATTTCCCTAGCTCTGAGGCCTGTTGGTGGCTGAAGCTCAGAACTGAGTCTTTCTGGGAGGTGAGGGAAGGATTGCCCTTGGCTGACGGGTGTTACTTCATCCAGGCTCATGCCTACTCTTCAAGGGCAGCCCACATCTACAAGGGCAGCCCACAAGGGTGAGGGTGAGGTGGGGAATGAATGTAAGGGGTATAAGGTCCTTGGTCCCTCGCCTCAAGGCCAGACAACTCGGGATAAGTGTACAGCTGAGAACAACACAATACAACACATGAGGATCCAGCCTGCTGGCCAAACGCGGCCCACTGCCTGTTTTCGTAAATAGAGCTGTATTGGAACACAGCTATGCCCACTTGTCCATACATTGTCTATGGCTGCATTCAGGCTACAAAGGCAGAATTCAGTAGTGGTGATAGAGACAACATGCCTGCACATTCTAAAATATTTACTATCTAACCTTTTCAAAAAAGTCTGCCTACCCAAAGATGTTGTCACTTTATCTACATTCACTGTCTCCATAATTCAAGCATTTGCCTTCTAGCCGTTATCACCTCTTTGCTGACCTTCAACACTTCACCCTACTGGGCGATCCAATCTACCCTAACCTCTGATCAGCAACAACCTTTTCATGACTCACCCCTCTCCTCAGCTGGTTTAGATTTCATTGGAATCATGCCGTTGTACCTTCAATAAACCTGTCCCACTCCCCCTTTATCATACTCAGCTGCAAAACCTCAACCATGATACAATCCAAGCCTCCAGCTAGGCTGCAGTTGGTATGAAAACCCACAACCATGATGGCTGGCCCCACTGTAAGTTCAGAAGCGCTGTCTTAGATGGGTGCAGTGTTGCCTGGCCATCTTTACATTTCCCCAGTTAGCTCACTTCCCACTCTCCAAGGGATTTCACATCTCCTCTGTCAAACTTTCAGCACCCTCTCACTCTCAGCTGCAATCTTGGCATCCTATTTCACTGAGAAAATAGATGCCTTCAGAACACACACCTTCCCACCAGCACACCACCCTCCTATCTGTAGCAAGTGCCCTCATTTACACTCGTCGCCTCCTATACCAGGGATGGACTCTCCAGACTCTTCACCTTTGCTCAGGACTTTGCCCTATAAACACATCCCTCTCTCCCCTGTGCTGTCATAGCCCTTACCTACTTACTGGGGCATTCCTTTCCCTAGTCGCAGAAATGGCCCCCCCCTTCCAGATAACACCCTTCTTCTCGGTTTCTCTTTAGAGTGCATCTCCTCATTTCTGTCTTCTCACCTCTATTTCCTCATTTCCTGTTCTCTAGTGAAGCCACTCGGTCAGGCGTCCATGTCCCCTGCTCACCATCTCTAATGATCTCCTCATGCCTAAGACCACAGGTCAACTCTCGGTCTTCATCTCACTTAGCAGCATCTGACATCCTTCTAGAAACAGTCTTCATTTGTCCTGTGTTCTCCAGGCTTTTCAACGGGTGCCTGTTGGCTCTTGGGCCTCATCTCTGTCTACCCTCTTCATAGGCTCCCATGGCTCCTGTAATATGCTGACAAACACAGAGCCTCAGCCTCTGCCCCAAAGTCCTCACATGAATATTCAGACGTCCCACTAGATTTCCCTATATTCATCCTACTGCTAGGCCCCCAAACGGTGGACTCATACACATGTCAAATCTGTGTGGAAATCCCAGTGGTTGGTTCAGCACCTCCTGGGTCTGACATTTCTTTCTTTCTCCGCTGCTACCACCCTGTTGTTGTTAAGTGCCGTCCAGATGATTCTGACTCATAGTGACCCTATATAAGGTTTCTGAGATGCAGCTGGTGGGTTTGAACTGTTGACCTTGCAGTTAGCAGTCCAGTGCTGATCCTACAGTGCCACACCAAGGCCCTGCTATCACCCAGGCAAACCAAAATCCTTTCTTCCACTCCTCTCTTCCCCTACAACCATCCAGCTGTCAAAGTGATGCCTTTGAAATAAAAATCCTATCATTTCTGCTCAAAGTTCTCCACTGACTTCTTACTATCAAACAAACGTGTTGCTGTCAAGTTGATTCCAACACATGGCACCCCACAAGTTATAAAGCAGAAATGAGTTCCAAAGGATTGTCTTGGTTATAATCTTTGGGAAGCAGACGGGCAGGCTTGTCTCCCATGGCGCCACTGGGCAGGTTCACATGATCCCCCTTTGGCTAGCTGTGGAGCACAAACTGTGTGGACCATGCAGGGACCTGCACTCCCGTCACACTTGTAATCAAATCTAAATCCCTCCCTTAGATACTTCATAGTCATCATGCCCTCAGACCATCAGCAAGCTGACCCACTCACCCTTCACAACCAAGTCAGACTCACAGCAATCTTATAGGACAAAGAAGAACTGCCTCAAGGGTTTGCAAGACTATAAATCTTTACAGAAGCAGACTGTCGGCCTCATCTTTCTCCTGCTTAGTAGCGGAGTATAAAACCACTGTGCCATGAGGACTCACAGTGATCCTGTATGAGGTTCCTGAGCTATAAACCTTTAGGGAGTAGAAAGCCTCATCTTTCTCCCAAGGAGCGCTGACTGGGTTTGAACGGCCGACCTCTGGTTAGTAGTCTAGTGGTTACCCTATAACACCACCAGGGATCCCTGTCCCTCTAGCATGTTGCTATTGTTGTTTGTTGTCAAGTCAGTGCCAATTCATAATGATCCTGTACAGGGTTTGTGAGGCTATGAGTCTTTTTACAGGAGCAGAAAGCCTCATATTTCTCCCATGGAGTGGCTAGTGGATTTGAACTGCTGACCTTGTGGTTAACAGCCCAAGCATTAACCTAGATTCTTCAATCTTAAATCTCTACCTACTCTACACCATCGTAACAACTGAATATGTAAAAACCATAATGTCTGGCTACATTTGTCCTAGCCTAGTTCCCCAATATTATCTTCATTCACCTAGCTCTAATCCCAAGGCATTTCCGCTCCTCTGCCTGAGGCACTCTCTCCAGATTGCCCAGCCCACACTAAGTTCAGGTCCCAGCTCAAAGGGACCTTCTTGGACTCTATTTAAAATCTCACTGCTCCATCCCTCCACAGCTACAACTACACAACAGCAGAGATTCCTGCTCACCATTAGGCCAATGCTTGGAGTCCAGCTCCCACCTGCCAGGAGCTGTCTGCTGTTCCCCAAAGATGGCCCACTGCCCTGCTCTTTGTTGAGTGCTATGGAGTCGATTCTGACTCATAGTGACCCTGTAAAGGGTTTCCAAGATTGTAAATCTTTAGAAAGCCTCATCTTTCTCTCATGGATTTGAACTGCTAACTTTGTGGATAGCAGTCCAAAGCATAACTCACTAGGCTACCAGAGGTTCTACTCTGTGGAGCCAAGAAAAAGCTCACTAAGGGCAGCTGCTTTATTGAGGTGGTCAGTTCCTTCAGAAGGAAATGATGCTGTTGCTGCTTAGGAAAGAATCCTGGGGGCAGAGTCTGACTACAGTGTTAACCAGCTGGGTGCCCTCCCTGCCCCGTTGGAGGAGCCAGGACTACTGGGAAACCCTTGTCTCACCTGGAGCTCCCAGAAGATGCTGCGCGTGTGGCGGTGATAATACTGCCTCAGGGGAATGTACTCCAGGCCCTCTTGGTCTGTCTTCAGGTATTTCTCCACGTGCTTGAAGAACCATGGCTTGTAGTAACTGCCAATGCTATTCAGCTGAAATGACAGAGGGCATTGTGATCAGACACAGACAAGCACCAAATGCCGTCAGGGTGTAACAGCGACACTCGGCTTTTGTGCCGCACGCCTGGCCTTTTCAAAACTCTTTCATGTCTATTAGCGCCTTTGAGACTCCCGGGAGCCCGGTGAGGTTGAGGTTACACACAGCGGGCTTTTTCTAGAAGAGAGAGGAGTAGTTCAAAGAGGTTAAGTGGTGTGTCCAAGGTCAAACAACTAGTTCCTGCTGGCCTAGAGAATTTAGCAACCCACTCCCTAGCCCAAGACTACTCTCAGTGAGAGCCCTGAAGTGAAAATTTATTACAGTGTCTGTCACAATGCGAGCTCCAGGCAGCTGAGTTCTCTCCTTACCTCCTGACACCTTGCTTGCTGAAAGCAAAGAGGACTTACAATACTTACTGATGAATATTAAAGACCACAGCCTTGGATGTGGGTTGCACCTCAATGTAAAGAAAACAAAAATCCTCACCACTGGACCAATAAACAATATCCATATAAATGGAGAAAAGATTGAAGTTGTTAAAGACTTCATTTTACTCAGATCAACCATCAACACTCATGGAAGCAGCAGTCAAGAAATCAAACGATGTACTGCATTAGGCAAATCTGCTATACAAGACATCTCTAAAGTGTTCAAGAGCAAAGATGTCAGCTTGCCTGACCCAAGCTGTGGTATATTCAATAACTTCATATGCATGCAAAAGTTGGACAGTGAATAAGGAAGACCGTAGAAGAATTGATGCATTTGAGCTGTGCTGTTGGAGGAGAATACTGAAAGTACTGGACTGTGAAAAGAACAAACCAATCTGTATTGGAAGAAGTGCAGCCAGAATGCTCCCTGGAAGCCAAATAGCCAGACTTCGTCTCTAATACTTTGGACATATTGTCAGGAGGGACCAGTCCCTAGAGAAGTATATCATGTTTGGTAAAATCGGAGAAAAAGAGAAAGACTCCCCACGAGATGGGTTGACACAGTGGCAGCAGCAATGAACTCAAATATAGCAACAATTGTAAGTTGGCACAGTGCATAGGGTCCCTATGAGTCAGTATCAACTCAATGGCACCTAACAACAACTCCTGACACCAAAAACACTGAGCATGTCTCAAGGCCCACTGACACCCAGGGCCCAAAGCCACTACCATTGTGTCAGTCCCGATTCCTCATGACCCTATAGGACAGAGTAGACAATTCCATAAGGTTTCCAAGACTGTAAATCTTTACGGAAGCACCAGTCTCACTTGTCCCTCATGGGTTTGAACCACGGACCTCATGGTTAGTACCGCCAGGGCAGGCAGCCCTCATTAATTATGGCGTGTTTCCTGCTGTTCCTCTGCTGGGCTCCACGATCCTGGAAACAGTTCATTACTCAGGCAGTCACCAGCAATTGCAGGTGGTTCTCAAGAATAAACCATCACATGGTCCTGGTCCTGACCCAATTTCTCAATCTTATCTTTAGCTGGTGTTGTCCTCAGTCTAAAAAAATGGTTCATGACTTAAGAGTGCTGGGGCCTCAGCTTCCATTCCCATGAAATCAACTCTTAGTACATGCTGGAGGGGTCCTAGGAAGAGCCTAGGCACTGGGACTGGGTAAACCAGATGCCGTCCAGTAGGTTCCGATTCATGGTGATTCCACTTGTGTCAAGAGTGGAGCTGTGTGTGCTCTTGGATTTGTGACCTTTTCGAAGCAAACTGGCAGGCCTTTCTTTTGAAGTACCTCTGGATGGATTTGAACACCAACCTCACTTAATCATTTGTATACTACGCAGGGATGACTCTGGGATTGGGTAACTAGGTTGTTGGTTGTTGGTTAAGTACCGTGGAGTCAGTTCTGACTCACAATGGCCCTGCACAGGGTCTCCGAGGCTATAAATCTTTCTCCCACGGAACTGCTGGTAGTTTCGAACTGCTGACCTTGAGGTTGGCACCCTGACTCGTAACCACTACGCCACCAGAGCTCCTTGGGTAACTAGGTAGCCAGAGTCAAATCCAGTTCAGTCACTCACAGGCATATCACTTTTCATCTCAGTTTTTTCATCTATACAATGACAATAAAAAATGTATGTGTTGTGGGAGGTTTTTTGGTGTTTATTAGATATTATAAGCATACAAAGATCAATCACACAGCCTGGTGAATGTGCATTCCTGTTGAAACTCTAGGTCCCACAAGGCTAGGTTTTCCACTCTGGCTGCAGATGCTCAGGCCCTATGTCAGACCAGCTTTCCCTGGGGGCAGAAAAAGGTACTGAGGTTTACAGGAAAGTGAGTTCATACTTGGTAGGGGGACCAGCAAAGGGTTAGGAGGAAGATGAGAGCGAAATGAAAATCAAAGACTACAGACTTCAGCATGGATTATATATATACCTCAACACAAAGAAACCAAAAGTTCTCACAACTGAACCAAAGGCCATAGTATTTACAATCATCTCAAGTGCATGTGAAAACTGGACAATATACAAGGAAGGCCAGAGAAGACCTGATGGATTTGAATCATGGTGCTGGAGAAGAATATTGACTGTACTATGGTCTGTCAGAAGAAGGAATGAACCTGTTTTGGATAATGTACACAACACTTCTTAGAAGGGAGGATAGTGAGACTTCATCTCACATACTTTAAACATATAATCAGGAGGTACCGATTTCTGGAAAAGGAGACATTATGCTTGGTAAAGTGAAGAATCAACAGAAAAAGAGAAAGTCCTCAACAAGATAAACTGACACACTGGCTGCACTAATGGGCTCAAATGGAACGATTGTGAGGATGGTACAGGGCAGGGAAATGTTTCGTTCCACTGCACGTGAGGTCACTATGTGTCGGAAGTCACTCAATAGTACTTAACAGTAACAGCGAGTGAAACAGGCCATAAGGAACCAGCAGGAACAGAGCCAATACGTGAACAAGCACGGGGAACAATCACAATGACATGTGCTGAGTGCCCACCTTCCAGACAGGCAACCGGGCTGTTCCCTCAGAGACCTGGCAGGGTCGGACTTGCCCCTGATTCACTGAGAGGGTTTGAAGACTTCTCACGGTGGAATAGAATGCCCACGGCTACAGGGTTACCTTTGGGCAATGACTCAAACCTGTCGTGTGTAGCAACACAAGACCAGGGCCAGAGTAATAGGCTCTGGAAGCTAGAAATTATTTAGAACAAACAAAAACTAATTTTTTCCCGATTTGAAGAGCAAAATGCACACTTCATAAACACTTCAAACACTGCAGAAACTGTAACTTGGAAAGTGAGAAACCTCTATTGGCTCACGTTTTAGGGATAGCTGCTGAAAAGGTTGTCTATTCCTGAGGTTTCATTTTCGGTACACACACATTATATAATGTAAATGTCCTAGGCATGCTGTTAGGTGCTGTTGACTTCACTGATTCATAGCTAGCGCAACTGCCACACATGGTTTTCTAGGCTGCTGTCTTTATGGAGCAGATCACCAGGTCTTTCTCCTGCAGGGCCATTGGGTGGGTTCGAACTGCCAATCTTTTAGTCAGCAGCTGAGGGTTTAATTGTTGCCCACCAGGGACCCTTACCCTACGCATACTGTTTGTTGTGTGCCATTGAGTTGGTTCTTACTCATAACAACACTGTACAGGGTTTGAACCAGTGACCTTGTGGTTGGCTGTCCAATGCTCATCCTACAGTGCCATACTGGGGCACACTGTTGGCAATTGGCATTTTCCACTTATAACACACTTGGTTGATCCTGGGCAGGTTACTTAACGTCCTTGGGCCTCATCCTCTGTAAGGGAGAGATGGAGACTTTAATTAGCCCCAATGTGTGTGAAAAGACTAAAGGAGCTAAAGTACTAAGTGCCAATCATGGTGTCTGGAAGCACTGTATCAGTTCCCTGCCCCACACTGCCACACTGTGCTAGAGTCAGGGTGCCCTTGGCCCTCACTCAAAGGCAGCCAGCACCTGCAGCTTATTTTGGGGTCACCCTCTTGAGTTGGCCCACTCTTCTAACAGGCCACTCTGCAGGGAGGGAACCAAGGGCCACCACACACCAGAGAATTAGAGCGTTAGAGCCTACAGTGTGGAGCCTCAGGGACAGGGTAAGGACACCACACCATACATGAACCACCTCTGCCTTAATGCATAGGAGAGTAAAACCCAAGAGCAAGCCGAGCCTGGCCCCACTTTAGGTCAGGCGGTCACCCGTAGAGTGGAGTCGAGACTCTGGGGCCCCCTGTACATGATGCCCCTGTTGCTCACTGATGCATCAGGGCCACCTGTGCCAGAAACCCAGAATCCAGTTTGTTCGTCTCTCAGAAAACACCCTGGGGTTGGGGAGGCCCAGGGTTGCTGTGAATGATACAATGGCACACACCATTAACAGCAACAACACTTGGGTAGCCAGCCCTTCCCATCTTGGGGCATCCCTATAAAATGGGGTGGGGTGCCTCTTCGCAGGGCTGCAGTGAACCTTACACTGACCAGTCACCAAGGGTCTATCACAGAGCCTGGTACATAGCAGACACATTCCTGTGCACTGTGTAGCCTTCCAAACAGTAAGGCTTAGGAGGAGTGGTCCACGCTCTGTTGGCAGCCCTCTTCCCATAGGGCATCAGGGTCTTGTTCAAAGGGCACTTGGCAAACGTCTGTGAGCCATGCACTCTGCTTTCTCTGACAGTGGCACCAGCGGAGCATCTGGATAGGGACTTCTGGTCTTGATCTAGGTTAACATAGAATTGGGTGAGGGTGTTCAAACATGGGAGAAGAGGCACTGACTTATCTGTCCAATCATAACTGTAGACAGCACCTAGTACAACAAACAGAGCCGACTTGAATACAATGCGGGTGGCAACTCTCCTGAGCTGAGCTGTACTACCTGTACAGCCCTTCAGAGGATGCCACTGAGAAGCTGGACAACATCTTGTCCAGCATTATTGCTAGATTTATCTGATGAGTAGAGCCAGAGACTGGGAAGGCCAGGGCTGGGAACTTGGTTCGTTGCCTTAGAGTTCTCTCCTCTGCCTGCTTGCCCCTCCCTGCCAGTGCCCACCATAGTGTTCCACAAGGACTGGGTGCCTGATGAATGTTTGTGGAAGCTGAGCTGCAGGGAACAAACTCCACACTGGGAATCAGGCACTGGAACTGACACCTGCCCTGAGCCAGCTTTCCCTCTCTGGGATTCATTTTTTTATCAAGAGCCTTAAGAGTTGCCTTTCCAGGGGAATAGTTAATCTCACAGCCCAGGAACAGAGGGTCCTAGGACCATCAAGAGAGACAAGCATGAGCAGAATGTAGGACCCTAACCAGGGAAGTAGCAACACCAGAGATAGAGGCAGAGCAGCTGAGGACTCTAGACTCACGGAAAGAGAAAGGCTGTGTGCTGGCGACCAGAAAGCAGACTTGCAGAATGTATCCTGTGGTTGTTTAAATGATAATAAATTTGAGTGTTTTGAGTACATAAAATAAATAAATAAATAAATAACCCCTGAGTAAATAGATGCAAATACTGTTGAATGATGATGCATGAAAGAGATTGAATCATTGCAATTAAACCAAATATGATAGGATGAGTGCAAAACCCATGTTCTCCCATGTTGTTCTCAATTCACAATAAAAGCTTTAAAAAATTAATTAATTAATTAAAAAAAATAAAAAGAGGTGCCTTTCCTTTGGCTACTTCTATACTAAGGAGCTCAGGTAGTGTAGTGGCCATGAGTTGGGCTGCTAACCTCAAGGTCAGCAGTTCTAAACTACCAGCTGTCCCACGGGAGAAAGATGAGGCTTTCTACTCCATAAAGATTTACAGCCTTGAAAACCATATACAGGGCCGCTAAGAATCAGAACCAAATCCGTGGCACATAACCAACCAACTAAAACTTAGAGATACAATTCTAACTATAGGCAAAAGATGCTTGTTACTACATTAATTCAAATAATAGGAAAATTGGAAGCAACTTAAATTTCTAGCTATGGGGAAGCAGCTTAGTAAAAAAACCCACTAAGACATTGGCCTAATGGGAAGTGAAAAATAATGTAGCAGCAAAGGTTAATGCTTATCCCGCTAAACCAGAAAAGCAGGCTATGCATTTGAACAGGCAATCCCAGCAGAAGACAAACAAATGGTAAACCAAGGCAATGGAATGCTGGACTTTGAAAGTGACTGAGAACTGCAAAATGAAACCAGGAGATACTATTTTTAACCCTATCAGATAGGTGAGATGTGGGGAGGGGCACTGTTATGGAGGCTGGCAGAAATGCAGGGAAAAGGCGCTCTTACACACTGCGGCCAAGGTGACTTGTAGGGAAGGCTGCTTGGTCTCATCTATCGCTATCTAACAGGCTCAAATCCTGGAACCAGGAGTTCCTTTTTGTAAGCTCATCTTAGAGAAATGTGTGTACTACAGGACAAGAATACATAAGAAAGAATCTTCATTACAATCTCATTTGTAAAAGCAAGGCATTTTAAGGAACACAAATGCTTAGCAGTATGCAGTGAGCTAAATAGGTATTTTCCACTCAACACTAGAACACTATAGAACAAAACTGACTAACACACACAGAGACATAGATCTGGAAAAACACCCAGACTGTGAAGTGTGGTTACCTTGGGAATGTGGTTGGGAGGGGTGAAGGGATGCACTTTAACTTTTTCTTTATATATTTCAATATTGTCATGCTGTTTTTATAATTTAAAAACTTTAAATAAAATCTAGGCACAGAAAAAGAGAAGAAAAAAATATACCAAACGCATTAGCGACCGGAGTGGAGTCTTTGCCTTTTACTTGCTTAAACTTTCCAAGTCTCTCATAATAAGCATTGTTGCTGTTCTGAAGTGCCTCTGAGTCGGTTCCGATTCAGAGCAACCTTATATAGGATTCTGAAGGAGCGACTGGTGAGCTTGAACCATCAATCTTGTGGTTCAAACCAACCTTGCAGTCCAGTGCATTCACCCGCAGTACCACCCCAGGACAGCATAATAAGCATTAATCCTTTCAAAATGGGGGCAGGGATGCTATTAAAGAGGGCATGGTATGCACTCTGACTGGGGCCACATTAGTCAGTCCTGAATACAATGAGAGGAACATATGGAGTACTCTTAAGAATTCTTATTTATTTATTTAAAAAGGCCAAATGGGAAAAGTAGAGAACAAAGGACCTCTAAGACTATCACCTTGAGATACTCCTTAAACCTAGAACTGAGCCTGTCACCTGAGATTACCGTTCAGCAAAATTTCAGTGGCACACCAAACAAAGGATATCATCTTTAAGATCAGAGAAGCACAAGGGCTCCATAGGGTAAGCACTGGATTGTGAAGCACAAGGTTGGTGGTTTAAGCTCACCAGCCACTCTGCAGGATAAAGAGGAGGCTTTCTGATCTCACAAAGATTTAAAGCCTTGGAAACCCTACACAGGGTTGCTATGAGTCGGAACTTAACTACACCAACCACCTGTAAAATCAACAACCTACCTGAAAACATCAGTATGAGACCAAAAGGCTAACAATTTCTCAAAAGCAAATATGAGAAGATGAGGGAGCAGGGAAAAGTAGAATATTGGAAAACTGAACACAGTCAAAGAGAACACTGACACACTATGATAAATGTAACTAATATCACTGAACTATTTGTGTGGAAACTGTCAAATGGGAACATAATTTGCACACATAGACTTTCACCAAAAACTTAACATGTATTTGTAAAAAGGACACGGTGTGTTTGTGCTGGAGCCATAAAGGTAAGAAAAGTCAACCCATCAGAGTAAACCCTTTTCTAAGACTGAAACTCAGAGCAAACACATAAATAGTCTTGCAGGCCTACTGGCAACCATCCTGGTCAACTTCTGAGTGGAAGGAGAGGAATTGCAGCAAAGAAGATATGGGCTGAGATTTGATATATCCCATACACACCCGATAACCTTGGAATAAGAGAGAGAAAAGGATGGGCTGATGGGTTTGAAGTTCAGGGTGATGTGTGAATGCCTGAGCCCAAAGACAATGACCTTGCCACTGAGGGTTAAGGTCAAAAATGAAGCAGTCACCAGATCTGAAGAAGGGGCTGGTGTGTGAGAACTCCCACCCTTGAAGATAGTACCCACTGGACTTAGTGTGGATGGCTTGCTGACCAGAATTTGACCAGATGAAGAAAAAGATATATGATACAGGGAGCAAGTATACACTGCTACAATCTGATCAACTGGACCCTTGCTTATGAATGTTGTTGTTGTTGTTAAGTGTTGTCGAGTTGGTTCCGACCCAGAGGCTGCTCAAAATTCCAACCAAATAGGAAAGGATTCTCCAAATAAAGGATAAAGCATGTCTCCTCAGCACAGTGGGTTGATACGGATGGGCACCTTAGACTTCGGCTACCAAAATTGGGGTACTATAAAGGCACGAAGTGGCTGACTTACAAGCTTTCATGAGGGTGTTTAGTGTCAAGATGCGGGGAGTAAGACAGACAGCCAATGGAATCATTTCCCTCCTGTCCAGATGGGTCTGGTGATGAGGGCGTAAGACTTTATGATACAAATGCGAGTAACTATTTTCAGCTCTAACGACGATTGTCACAACTGTAGATGTAGAAGAGGTGCAACTTAAAGGGGGAGCAGTTAATCTGCCATCTCAGGAACAGGGACCCTGATCAGAAAAGCAGCGACATTAGAGATGGTGGTGGAGGTGATGGCATAGACACAGAGCAGCAGTGGACTGAGAAAAACAGTGTGCCTGCGAACAGGAGGCTGGCTTGCAAAATGTGCTCTTTGGACATTTAAACAAATACATTATGTACAATGTGGTATGTGGATGTCAAAAAAAAAAAAAAAGGTTACTAGAGGTTAACTACTGTTGGCTAAAGAGATTGTAATCATTATAGTGATAATGGTGATCTGCCCTGTAAGCTTTCACTCACTCAATACACAATAAAAGTTTTTTTAAAAAATTACAGGGCAAAAGACCTCTTTAAAGTGTTAAAGAGTAAAGATGTCACTTTGAAGACTAAGGTGCACTTGACCTCAGCCATGGTATTTTTAATCAACTCAGATGTGTGCAGAAACTGGACAATGAATAAAGTAGACTGAAAAATGAAAAAAAAAAAGGACATGTTGTAAGTTGAAAGCAGGTTAATCTGAATTCTGAAGCACCAAATCAATTCTTCCAACCTTGGCTTTGCCAGCATATGGAAGGGTTACACTGTCTCTTAGAGCCTTGGTTTACTCATCTATAAACTGGGTGCTGTGAGGATCAAAGAGTACACCTCTCAAGAGGTGAGAACGTACCTGGCAGGAGGTAGGGGCAAGGTAACTTTTCTCACTGCCCAGGAGAGCTCAGACCATAGGTCCTGTCGCCTATGTCTGAGTCGGGCTGGCACTGGGAACAGCCTCCAGGAGGTGCAGGTTCCAGCTCCCCAGGAGCTCAGTTCATAGAGCTGACCCCTGCCTACCTTGCTGGCCTCTGCTTCGTCTGTCATGACGCCCGTCATGATGACAGCCTCATCAAGGGAGTAGAGCAGCCCCTCCACGAAGTGGTTCTCCAGCCGCTGGGACTCGCGGGAAAACTTGTCACAGATATTTTCCAGGCCCCGCACTGGCTCGAACCGCAGCTTGACATACTTCTTGGCAGGGATGATTCGGATCTCGGCGGTCACCAAGAAGCCGAGTGTCCCACAGGACCAGGGCACAGCGTAGAACAGATCTGAGTTTTCTGACTGAGAAGGAGGCAAAACAGAGCTTGAACCCTGGGCCCACATCTGACATGTGATCATTGGTGGGAAAAAGAACTTGGGGTCTCAGATCCAGGGAGCTTACACTAAGTTGCTGTTCTATCACTATCTCATAGCAATTTTACACACTGTACTTTCTGGACCTCAATTTTTCCTTCTGTGCAATGGGGATGTAACTCCTCTCAGTTTCAACATGAATTTGGACCTTATGTTGCCTTCTGTGAGGCTTTCGGCTCCTGCAAAGATATTTCTTCTGGCACCGAAACCCTATAAAGCGTCACTATGAGTGAGAACCACCTCGAAGGCACTTAACAACAACATTAACAACAACATTGCCCTTTATACCAGAGGAGCTCACTGAGCGCATCCTCCCTTCTCTACCTAGGCACCGCCTCAAAATACCCAGGAAGGAGCCATGACCAGCACTGCCCACAGACCCTAAATAGCTACAGAGGTCCAGGCTAGGATGGAAAAAGAGTGGGGTCAAATGATTTCCTTCTGGGTTGTTACTAATTATTTTTTTAAAATCATTATTTTTGGTGAAAATATACACAGCCAAACCCACTCCTATGTCAGCCAACTTTCACTTTACTTCTGTTCTAGTACACTTATATTTACTTCATATCCCTGTCTTGTTACCTTCTCATCCCTACTTTAAAGATAGCTGCTGACCCTTCAGACTCATATAAAGATTTTTTTTAAAAGAAATCTGAATATTTAATATTTAATACTCTTTATTGTTTGGACTAAACTGTTACTTAATTTAAAGGTAACTCCAGGGGATAGTTTCAATTCAAGATTTGAAAACCATCTCAGGCAATACTCATGGGGACTCCTCCGGCCTTAATAGGTCCAGTAAGTCCAGAATCTTGAAGAATATGAAGTTCTGTTCCATATTTACTCCCTTTTGTCAAGACTCATCTACTGTCTTCCTGATCAAACTAAGATTTACAATGCCTTCTGAGTCCATCAGCTGGTGTAATCCCCCTGACACTCAGGGAAAGAAAACATTAACATTCCCATTTGACAGTTAAAGAAACAGAGGGTCTAAGAGGTGACACAATTGTCCCACCTGGTTCTATACATCCATTTCTAACGTCATCATGTTCTAGTTTTGGTATCTATCTTGGAGACCAAGTTCTGACTTTTCACCTGGTCATTCTAATTCAGATTCTTTGATCAAATAAGGCATTTTGAAAATTTTCAGTTTTGTGTGGTGGTGGTGGTTATGTGCCATGGAGTCGGTTCTGACTTAGAGCCACTGTCTGTTAAACCTGAGAGGCGTTGGTGCGAGCAGGGTGGCACGGCATGGGTGAGGGGGTCTGGAGCAGGAAGCCCCATGTAGGCCAGCAGAAGCCTCCAGAACAGCAGAACAATCCTCCATCTAACCACACTGTGGTGGTCTCGGCAGTGATAACCAGCCAACCGCCAGGCTTTATGCCAGGAGTTTCCCATATAACATCACCTTCCTCCTATAAATAAGGCTTTGTCAGGTGAGGAAATGACCTCAGGATGGAGTTAATTAAGGATGACTATCTCCTTTCTCTGAGTCCTGGTGTGGCGCTGTGGGCTAATGCGCTGGACTGCAAAGTTGGTTTGAACCTTAAGGTCGGTGGTTCACGCTCACCAGTCGCTCTTTGGAAATCCTATACAGGGTCGCTATGGGTCAGAATCGACTCCACAGCACTTAACAACAACAAATCTCCTTTCTTGGCTGATAACAAGAGCCTACAAGGCAGGGTCTACCCACGGTTTAGGGTAAGTGCTGTACTGTTGTGAGTCCTCAACTGTTGGTTGGTGTTACCTTTGAGTCAGTTCCGACCCACAGCAACACTGTAAAGGAGAGGCTTGTGAACTTGAACCGCCAACCTTGCAGTTCAAACCGACTTTGTAGCCCAGTGCATTAGCCCACAGCGCTGTCACACCAGGACTCCTGAAAGGGGCTTCTTTTGTCCAAGACCAGAGCTTCCAAGTCAGGAGTTCTCCTCGGGACTCTCTTTAATGACACTCTGGTGGCTTCTGAAACATCTACTTCAGAAGGATCAGACTGCCATCAAGGCCCCCTTAAATATGCTGGCAGGGAGCTGAGTTTATTTGATGATTTAAATCAGTCCACTTTTAGGGTGATTACGAATCAGGCTACCTACCAACCTCAAGGTCAGCAGTTCGAAACTACCAGCTGTTCCACGGGAGAAAGATAAGGTTTTCTGCTTCCATAAAGATTCACAGCCTCGAAAACCCTGTGCAGGGTCACTATGGGTCGGAACCAACTCCACGGTACTTATCAACAACAATCCAACCCATTGCCACTGAGTCGACTGTGACTCATAGCAACCCTCTAGGATTTCCAAGGCTATAAATCTTTACGGGAGCAGACAGTTTCATCTTTCTCCCAATGAGCAAGTGGTGGATTTGAGCTACTGACCTTGTGGTTTGCAGTCCAGCCCTTATCCTACAGTACGCCAGGGCTCCTTCCTTTTAGGGTTTGAAGCCTTACATGTTTGTGTCCCACTCTGGGGTTAGAATGATATCGTATTTCTCCAGAAGAGTCCCTCTTAATGATTTTAGTTACATCTCACACCATCTAGCAATATGGACAGCTAAGGGCATCAATCAGGAAGCCAGATTATCTGAGTTTGACTCCTAGCTCAGCCATTCACTAGCTGTGTGACGTAGAGACAAGTTTTTTAATTTCTCAGTGCTTCAGTTTCCTATCTGTAAAATAGGTACATTACTAGTTAACTAGGTCATAAGTTTTCTGAAGAACTAAAAGCACAAGTATATATGAAAGGGCTTCTAAAAGTTTGTGGGAAAATGGAATGAAAAGATAATGGAATTTTGAAACCTCCTCATATATAAAACATTTGCATTATCTGAGTACCTTATAACCAAGGTTGCTGCTAAGTTGGTTCCAACTCACAGTGACCCTACAGGGCAGAGTCGAGCTGTCCCATAGGTTTCTGAGGCTATCATCTTTATCAAAGTAGAATGCTTCATCTTTCTCCTGTGGAGCGGCTGATGGTGGCTTTGAACTGCCAACACTGTGGTCAGCAGTCAAGCACTTAAGCACTGCACTACCAGGACCCCATCTGAACACCTTGGTGGTGTTGTCCAGTTGGTTCTAACTCATAGCAACCCTGTATAGAGTTTTCAAGGAGCAGCTGGTGGGTGTGAACCGCTGAGCTGTGCAGTTAGCAGTCTAGTGCTTATCTTGCAGTGCCCCACCAAGATTCCTAAAGGGTCTACATAAATGCTAGTTATTATTAGGGACCCAGACCCAGACTGAACAAGTGTTGGACTTATCCCTGAAGTATTCCTATGGGAACCCCTTCCCCACCCAAGACCTCTGATGCCCAGCTGGCGTGGACGTCCTCCATGTGAACTCACCGGCGTGCATCGCACAAAGCTCCCATCGGCCAGGACCAGTTCGTAGGCTGTGCAGATGTGCTGGAACAAGCCATACTTGTGGGATGATGACTCGATGCCGGTGCCCATGATCAAGCCCCCTACAGAGACACATACGTTAGCCAGGCCATGATGCAGCATGGAGAGTGGGGACAGCTTGAGTAAAGGGCACCTCACTGGAGCTAGGGGAGCTCCTGGCATGAGGAAAGCAGGGCAAAGACGATGACACGGAGCTCCTGAACTTAACGAAGAGTTCAGGAGAGATGGTGGAGCTTTGACAGGAGAATGAGACCTATCCGGAGGTAAGGAGTGGGTGGGAAGACCTGTCAAAGTGTTCACAGCTTCAGCTCTGGCCAGACTTGACCCAGAAAACTGCATTCATGTGAAGAGGGGCTTGGTAGGGTGGCAGGAACAGTTAAAGGAACTGCTGGTGTCTCTGGAGAAGAAAAGGCTCTGGAACTGTAAATCCCGTGGGTGGGAAGAGAGACTAGACTTCCTCTGCTCTACAGCGTAGAATTAGGAGCAGTAGGTATGAGGCATGAAGATGCTGGTTCTAGTAGAAATAAGAAGTGCTGTCTGGTAACTATTCAAGGAATGGACTGGCAGGCTGTAGTCACCTGTTCACTGCAACTGGTGACTTCTCCCATCAATGGAACAGAGGGACTTCCTGAGCTGGGTGGAAGGGGTGGGGGTTGGGTAGCATGGCCCTCAGCTCTGACTCTAGCACTCTCTGCACTCCTCTTGCCCCGTAACATAGGGTGCTCACCTACGGTGAGGTCATCGAGTTCAGGCAACACAGGCAGCGTCCAGCCAATTGAGGTCAGCAGGGCAGTCACCTGTCCCATGGTCACCAAGGGCTCCACACGGACAATCTGTGGACACAAAAAAAGAGACCCAGGGTCACATGGAAGTTTCCAAGACTAATGTGGGCAGGGAAGGGCCTCCTTCCTGTAGAGCTTTTCTACATAGCCTTTGTGGGCGATTTCTACAACATCACATTGCCTTTCATCACAGTGAACCCTAAGAAACCTCACTGCTATTGGGTTCCAACTCATAGCAACCCTAGAAGGCCAAGTAGAACCGCCCCTAATCTAGAATCTTTATAGAAGCAGATCACCAGGTCTCTTCATCACAGAGTGACTGGTGAGTGCAAACCACCAGCCTTTTGGGTGAGCACTTAACCACTGCACCATCAGGCTGCTTTAGAAAACCTAAAGCTAAAATAGCAAAAAGTTGTAGCTAACAACCAACAATGGAGCTAAATCAGAATCACAAAAATCATTTAGTAATCCCAAAGAAGGCAGCAACAGTTAACAAAAGGCAAACAGGCAAAGCAAAGTGCAAGATGACAGACTTACACCAAACCATATCAACAGTAACATTAGAAGTAAATGGTCCTGTAAAGATTACAGCCCAATAATCCCTGCGGACAGTTTTCCTGTTGCCTCGGGCTGCTGTGAGTTGGGATGGACTTGATGACACGTAACAAGAACAACTGCCACCCAACAACAGTGAGTACACATGGAACATTCACTCAGAAACCATGTTCTGAGCTATAAAACAGTCCACTCAAGTTAAATGAATGAACTTGCATCTATTTTAGGGGAAATGGGCATCTTATTTACCTCAAAAGATGTAAATACAGTGGTAAAGTTTAAATTAGAAAAGTTAGGAACTAAATGAAAATCCTTAAGAATTTAATGGCTTAAGTATGTATGTGCTTTTCAGTTATTCCACTTCTTTAAAGTCTATCTATAGTGGGTAATACTGTTGTATTGTTTTGTGATAGAATTTAATCAACTTCTATTAGCAAAAATTCATTAAAATTATCTCATTACTTTAATTAAAAGGTAGATTCTCAGATGGATTTTAGAAAGCAACACCCAATAACTACAGGCTTCCTACAAGATAGGCACTTTAAATATAAAGGCGCAAAATAGTGAAAAGATATATCAAATACAACAACAAAAAAAGAGAGCAAGCTGGAGTGGCTTGATTAATATCAGACAAAGTAGATTTCATAACATAGATTATAACTAGAGATAAAAATGGCTATTTCAAAACGATAAATGGATCAATCAAAAGGACATAAACCTAACAATTATGTACCTAACAACAGAGCTTCAAAATGAAGCAATCCAGGCAGCTAATAAGCATATGAAGAAATGTTCACGATCACTGATTAGAGAGATGCAAATCAGAACAACAATGAAATATCATCTCATACCAGCAATAACAGCAAAGATCAAAAAAGTAGAGGACAATAAATGCTGGTGAGGATATGGAGAGACTGGGATGCTCCGACATTGCTGGTGGGATTGCAAAATGGTCCAACCTCTCTGGGAAGCAATATGGCGCTTCCTCAGAAAGTTGGAAATAGAAATACCTTATGATCCAACAATTCCTCTACTTTGTATTTACCCACAAGAAATACGAGCCATAACATGAGTAGATATATGCACACCAATGTTCATAGCAGCACTATTTACAATAGCAAAAAGATGGAGACACCCTAAATACCCATCAACTGAAGAATGGATAAACAAACCGTGGTACATATACACAATGACACTGAATAATACCAAGGAAACTGCAAAAGCCACCACATAACATAGATGAACCTTGAGGACATTATGTTGAGTGAAATTATTCAGTCACAAAAGGAGAAACATTGCATAGGACCACTACTGTAAAAGACTAAGAAAAAGAACCCATACTAAAGGGAGAGTGGATTCTTTGCTTGTTACTGGGATGTGGGCGGTGAGGTAAGGGGAGCGAGGGGAAGGTGGAGCACAGGGTAGGGAATAGACACAGGATAGTTTGCGTGCTAGGGAAGGGGACAATACACAAGAAGAGGGAGGGGAATGGAAGAACAAAGCAGACGGGGAAAAAATTAGGCAGGTTTGCATGGGCTAAGTGGGACAGAGGTAAATAATGATGTATGCACAACCTTGGAACAACAGGGCTCTGGGATACAGAGATTGAGAGACATGGTTGGAATGGGCAAAAGGGAGAAAATAATGTTAAGATGCTTGGCTGTCTTTTGAATCTTGGTTTCCCTGGCATACCATTATAAAATAGACACTTGAGGGTGAGGGAAAGGATTAGCCAGAAATATCACCATAGAAAGCTTGTAAGTGTGTCTTCTGCCTATAACTGATTGGAATATCTAAAATGGGGTTACAATGTGAAGGAGGCTTCCTGTGGAGTCTCTGCATTACATAAGACCATAGGTGGAATCCTGAACCCCATCCAGAATCTTCTGAGGTGGGAAATTTCCACTTGAAAGGACAAGCACACCAGTCTGGAGCAACTAGAAGAACAGAGAATACTTCTTAAAAGAAAGACCGACAGGAAAAATACAAAATAATAGAGGTAGACCGACTGATTACTGCAAGAACAAGCAAGTTGCTCACCCAGGAGACATCAAGTCAAGTGGTTGGGTCCCCTCAGAGCAAACCCCCTTCCAAGACTAAAACTCAGTGGGAATACACGTTCTGATTGGTGACCACATTCGTCACCGATAAGGGGAAGTGAGGGGAAAACAACAATGAAGCTGCGAACTAAGCCCTACAACGTTCAAAAGGCTCCTGTGAACCGGGTGGAGACCTGGTTGGCCAACAGTGTGGCAAGACCTTGGGACTCTTGGGCCCAGAGTCAGTGACATAGCCACAGAGGACTAGAGTGGAGAATGAAGCATCCAGCTCATAAGAAGAGGGCATATGCACAAGAATACCCACATATGCAGATAATATCCACTTGACCTGGTGTCAAGGACTGGATGATCAGAGCTCAACTAGAAGAAGAAGAGGAAAAAAAGAGTAATCTGATACAATTTGATGAACTTGACCTACACTTATGGATGCAGTAGCTCAAAGGAGGGTACAAATCCTTACAGCGAGGATCATTCCCACCCCCTCTATACACAGAGTAGACAGGGATGGGCAACTTGGACATAGGCTACCCAAAATGGAGTAGGGGGGCGCTACAAAGGCAAGAAGTGACTGGCTTTTTAAGAGGGAGCCTAGATCCGTAGGGCGTGGAGGAAGGTAGAATCTCCATTGAGTAGTATCCAACCTGTCTGGGAGGGACTGATGAAAGGAGATGCTGATAGGTCGTTTGTGATACAACAGTGAATAATTGTTGTATCACAACAATTATTTGTAGCAAAAGGAGGGGAGTGACTGACTTTGCAGTCTAGGAGTGGAGGTCCCTGGGACCATCAAGGGAGAAGAGCAGGGAGCAGGACCCTACCAAGAGAAGCAGGGAC